CAAGGTGACCAGTCGAGCTGGTGACGAAGAAACCGATGTTGCAGTTGATCTGCAGTCGAGCCATTGATCCTTTCGCCGATCACACATCGGAACTCTCAATTAAAGCACCAATATCGGTGTCAAAACCGGCGAATCTCGGGTAAGGGTCCCAAACTGTGTGTCTTAGGATCGATGGTAACATGAACACGGGATTTTACTCAGCTTCGGGCTCTCTTGATAAGATAATACCCTACATGCTGCTTGATTGACTATAATGAGTATAGGGGTTACAAGAGTTGGTCTACCCCGAGATCATATGTTGTGGTCTAAACCCTCGAGGTATGATGAGTAATGTCATAATCCTCTATCGACTAGCCTGACCTCGGTTTATATAATGTATCAGAGGCCTAGGATAACAAGAGTCCTAGCCGAATACGCCGGTGGGGGAGGAGTCCTTGTCTTGATCACCAAGTCTTGTGGAATCTTCCTTGTATGCGTCAACTGTCCGAACTGGCCCATGAGTATTCGGCCATGGGGGTCCTCGGCCAAATCTAACTGATCGGAAGACGAGGTGGTGAGTACCCCCTAGTCCAGGACACCGTCAGGGTGGCCTGCTAATGCTGGAGAATAGCAAGGGTACGGGGATGCCAGGTGGGGAAACATGGCGCAAGCAATGCCGAGGCGTGCAGGGAAGCACCGCCAGTTGTAGGTGGTGGCAGCAGAGCCGCCGACCGGTGGTACATGAGGTCAGGGTGCTGGAATTCAATATAGAGGAGGAGAAAGAAGAAGAAGAAGAAGAAGAAGAAGAAGAAGAAGAAGAAGGGGGGAGGGGCAGGGTATTGGTGGATTGAAATCCAACAGGTGACGGGGCCCTACCATATAATCTCTGCCATTCTTTTGAAAAGAAAAGATTACTCTCCACCATCGGGTGTTCATGAAGGGCTGGCTCATATTAATCTAATGGGCCTCTTCAATTTACTGGCGCAACCAATTTCATCAATCGGCGCAACAAAAGAACATCCACGTGGCAACACACACCACGTACGTCACAAGCATGATGAGCAATCTTCGACGTGCACTCCGGTTGCAACAATTTAGCAAGAGGCAACAATAGTTTACTACCCATGTGAAAGAAAGAAAAATCGAAAGACCACCCTGTACAAAATTCCGAATAGAATAGTGAAAAAAATCTGGAAACGAACGCACGAGAGAGGAAGATAGAATTTACTGTGACAATAATTTGCTCGAGCACCTGTAGCTGTACACATCGAGCATCTTCAGTTTCATGCATCTCAGATCACGCGCAAGGCAGAGTGAGGGTGAGAGCCGAACCCAAGATATTGAACCACTTTTAACCACCGTCCAGACTATCCAGCCACTGATAGTTATCCACTAAAAAGTTTAAAACAACACTGAGATAGAGGAATCGATTCGCGGTTTTGCCGTACGACCGCACTGAAATCAGAAGTAGAGAGATATGTGGGGAGCAGAAGCAAGAGAAATTGGCAGGTTCGGATTCGAGCCACCTACCATGCCAGTCTTACTGTTGTCGGTGGGCCCAATATGTCAAATTCATTATTTAATAGCTTGTGAATCAACAACTTGGGTCATGTGTTTATCATCTCTGAATGGTGTTGGGTTTGAGTAAAATGTCAGTGAAATGATGTTTGTGAGCAAACCGAAACCTAAATTTGACAGTTCTTACTGAAATTGAAATCTAACAGGTGGAAAAATTGACCGATACCAAAAATAAATTCGAGTGCTTGCCATATAGTTGGCCCCACGGATTAATAGCCACCCTAGTATCGAAAAGAAAATGTTACTCCCTGCCACTGGATCTACACAGATGTATGACCCATATTAATCTGAAGGTCCTCTAAGATCTACCGTTGCAACAAATTTCAGCAATCGGCGCAACACAAGAACAATCTACGTAGCCACACACCCCTTGACAAGCATGATGAGCAATCTTCCTCATGCACTTCAGTTGCAGCAGGGTGCAGGGCAAAATGCAACAAGAATTTACTACCCATATAGAAGAAAAATTCAACAGAGCACTCTATACAAGATCCTGAAAAGAACACGGAAGAGGGGAGGACAGAATTACCGCGACAATAATTTGCGCGAGCACCTGCAGCTGTACACATGGAGCATCTAATGTTCCGTGCGTCTCGATCACACGCAAGGCAGGGCGATCCTGACAGCCGAACCCAGGATATCGAATCACTTTTAACCGACGTCCAGACTATCCAGTCGCCGGTAATTATTCAGTCAAAAAACGAAAACAGCACCGAGATGGAAGAATCGATTCGTGGTTTACCGCGCGTGCGCTGCAGTAAATTAGTAAACCTGTACCTATAACACAGGTTCTACCAATCTATGAGCAACAGGCAAGACAAACACATCAGAAAATACCGAGAACTGAACTAAAGTGTGAGGACAAACCAAAAATTCTCTCCATAATATGTGTACAATTAACTATGCAAAGTACACTTAAGAAGACGAAAATATCTTGCAAGTTATTAACAATTAGGAACGAATCGATCCCACAAGATATTTCCAAAGAAGAAAGCTCTAAATTATACTAGAGTATAAACAAACAGCACCATGGTCTTGTCTTTGCAGTACTGCGGTCCTGAAATGCCTGCAGCACATACGAAGGTTGAGCGGCAAAGTTTGGCTGAAAGAATTGGTATACATATCCGAACATCGCATCTTTCAGCAACATAAAAGCATGAATAAACCGCTAAGCGAAGCCGGACCAAGATATCGGAATCGATCACAAGAATAGAAAAGAGGGAGCTTTATGCTGGTCATGATTGATGTTATGAATCTAGTCTCTAGGACTACCGAGAACAATGCCTTGCCCAAGTTGCTGAGCATCTGATGCCAACAAATCTTGGCCTACCAGTACCAGACTTACTTGGATTAATATACTGCTTAACCACAAGCTGCTTCCCCATCAGGGAATTGTAAATATGCATCCGTGGCGATCCTCGCGTTGTTTTCGCACTGCATTGTGTACTTGATGTTATAGAGACAAACACAAAAGAACAACTGTTATAGTTCTAATATTATTCCCTTCTTGTAGCTTCTATTCTCCACCGGATGGCTAAGAACCCAGAAGTGCCATTGAAGCAATATTCAAGCTCCCAAACACATTACCATAGTATATACAACTATATATGTAGAATCACATATTCCCATCTAACTTTTACACATTTTTTGTCCTGAAGGAATCTAATCATCACTTGCGGCCCGCTTGATTGCCGTTCCATAGGCCATTATCCATGTGATTTTAATTCTGTTTTTTGTTCCGGGCTAGAAATCACGCTTGGTTCGGCCCAAAACAATTGTTTGCCAATTCCATCTGGAAAAAAAATGGCGACCACCTAGGCAACGATCGGCTCAAATTGTGGTAAAATGAAGTTGTACCTCCCAAAATTAGCGCCAACATGCAAATAAAAAGTACAACGGCACACATAAATTGCAAGAGTGTTATTGCACAAAAGGTTGTGCAGTTGTGCCAAAAAGGTGTAATTACACAAATAGTAGTACAAAGGTGCAATTGAACAGGTAATAAATGCAACTGCGCAAAAAGAGCTAGTACACAGTTTAAAGACCACCCCGCTACTTCTATGTGTAATATGAAAAACATATTCAAATAGTAGTAAACTAAGGAAACACTTGTATACAAAATAATACAAATATAGCACTAACAAAATTTTGTACTGTAGATGACAAAAGAACTCGTATGAACTCTTAACATAGAGATAAAAAAGACTTCTTTACTTAGCTCAACGACACTTATTTTGAGACAGAAGGATCGAGTACTTAGCACACAAAGCAAAGTGTGTCTAGGCGGATGGATAATGCACTAAAGCTAGGTAATTTTGCACTGCAAAGTATATGCCATCGTCTAACCCTATTGAACCCATCAGCTGACCAGACCAGCGGCTGCCAATTATGCACTGCAAGCATCTTGCTCACTGTCACTGAGATTGAGATGAGCTTCACGCTCCTGGCCGTAGTCCAGTTGGCCAAGGAGCCGAGAGCTAGCATGGAGGTCACGAATATCCATATCGGTCAAAGTTGGTCAAGTGAAGTAGTAGTAGTACTCCATTTAACCGCGGGCTCCTTTCCCGGACAGGAACGGATGCCGCTATGCGAATGTCGAAGGTGATCACCACGTCCGCGTGCAATTTCTATTCCACCTTATCCAAGCAGCTCAGTGGCACTACCCAACGTAGTACTACTATATGGTGACATGTGTGCACGCAGCCCTCGGTCGTTTTCGTCTTGGATGTACGTTTATGCTCGTAGAGTTGATAACTCGAAGATGTAGTAGAACTTTAACTGACATGCACACTCCTTTGGAGATGCATAGTTAGATCATGTATATCCAGTTATCCACAGCTTAACCCATGCATGCAAACAAGAGATGATCATCTCTCTGAACTTTGAAGCAGTTTAGTACTCCCTCCGTCCCATATACTTCCTCCGTCCAAAAATACTTGTCATCAAAATAGACAAAAAGGGATATATCTAGAACTAAAATACATCTAGATACATTCTCTTTTATTTATTTTGATGACAAGTATTTTCGGACGGAGGGAGTAATATAAAAGGGAGTACCTAGGACTCATCTAGATGGGATATAATTTGGTCTCATTCACTTTGAAAACAAAAACAAATACAATCCATGTCAGCACACACGCATCTTATAGCATCACATCCAATGATTATAAAAGGTAAATGAGACCAAATTATATCTCATTTAGATGAGTTCTAGCAAAACTGTATTATTTATACTAAAATTAAGTCAGGAAGGTTTTTTGAAAAATAAAAAACAAGCGGAAACGTGGGCGCAAAGCGCGCGGCGGGGAGATAGTACTTCGACGTTTGCGCTAGCTCGACGTTTGCGAGTCGCGATCAAAACTTCCAAGTAAATCAAATCAACTTTATTACTATTCAGCTTATAACAATTAATAAGTGATCAACTCGATGTGCGTGCTGGCTAGCTAGTACACCGCCCCGCGGACCCCGCTCCACTCGCGGGCCATCCCGGCCCTGTACCCGGCGTTGTACGCCGCGGCGTCCGACATCATGTCGCCGGCCATCATCCCGCCGCCGATGCCCAAGTCCGCGCTGCCGTTATTCCTCGTCCATGTCGAGCCGGCTGCGTATCCGGCAGCTGCTTTTTGAGGCGCCGGCGGCGTGGCCATGTGACCAGAGGCTTGGAGCGGCGCGGCCGTGTGCCCAGAGGCTTGGAGCGGCGGCATCGACAGGTGCCCGTAACCGTAAGCCTTTGAAAGCGGCGGAGCTAGGGCCATATGCCCACCACCACCATAAGCCCGTGGAGACGGCGGCGAGGACGACATGTGCCCACCGGAACCGGAAGAAGCTTGCGCGGAGTGCTGCGGCGGCGGCGGCATGAGCGCCGGGGCCGGCATGTAGGCGTACGGCTGGTGATGATGGAACGACGGCCGCGCCGCCACCGGGTACGCGACGACGTGGTGCTCTTCCTCGTGAGCGGCAGCGGCGTGGACGTGGTGCGGGTGCGGCGCATGAGGATGAGGGTGAGGGGGCTGCGGCAGGACGACGCCGCCGAGGCGGTAGGAGAGGTAGAGCACGCCGTAGGTGTCGGCGGGGCGGTGCACCCTGCGGACGTGGTAGACGGCGAACTGCGGGGGGCGGGGGCCGAGGTCGCGCGGGTCGCGGAAGGAGCCGCCGAGGCCGAGGATGTCGGTGAGCGGGACGACGACCTCGCCGACGTCGCGGTCGCCGAGGGAGCGCTCGGTGCGGAGGAGGACGTGGAGGCAGCCGCTGGCGCCGGCGGCGGCGGTGGGCGGGACGGTGAAGCGGAGCGTGGTGTTCCAGGTGGGGTGGCGGCCGCCGTAGGGGTCCGGCGGGGTGCACTGGCGCGTCATGGGGTCGCCGGAGATGGTGGCCACGGCGTACACCTCGAGGCGCGACATGAGGTTGACGTTCTTGAGGTTCCTGGCCGACTGGAGGGTCACCTCCAGCATCCTGTACGCCATGCTAGCTGCTTAGCTGGAGGCTGGAGCTCACTCACTCTAGGTTGTTCTAAGCTAGATAGATGGTTGCAACTTGTAAGGAGTGCTTGATTAGCAGGTGCTGGTGTGGCTTTGCATGAAGCTGAGAGGTATGCAGCACCTTGAGCGGGTAGCGTATGTATAGGAGGAGGAGGAGGTGTGGGCCCAAAATTCCAAAACTATGTGAAAATTCAGATGGGAAACTTCCGGGCTGGTTGCATACGGTGTACTCGAGAGCTGTAAGATTATTATGCCCACAGAATTCATAGTGCTTGGCAACTTCTGAATTCCGAGCCACCCATCGAGAATAAGTTGCTTCTCTTTTTGAAACAACAGAGAATAAACAAAAAAAGAGTTACATTAGTGTTAAAAACGTTTTTATATTCAGTTTTGCTAGAACTTATCTAAATGAGATATAATTTGGTCTCATTTACCTTTTATAGCCATTGGATGTGATGCTATAAGATGCGTGTGTGCTGACATGGATTGTATCTGTTCTTGTTTTCAAAGTGAATGTGACCAAATTATATCCCATCTAGATGAGTCCTAGGTACTCCCTAATTAATAAGGGGCGAGCCCCTCATAAGAATTAATAATCACCCAGGGCCCCTCTTTTCGAGAAACCCTACCACAGCCATCAGGCCCGCCGTAATCGAGCAGATCCATCGATCGCCTCGTGATATCCAGAGTCTCCGAGAAACACCCTCAGATCGAGATGGAGAGTAGCCATCAGTCCAATCCAAGGAGGAAGAACCGCAACAATAATCGAGTTGCTCCTCCTGAGAGCCTATGGCGCCTGATCGAGCAGCTCAAGGTGGAGAAGGAAAAACTCAGAGAGTCGGAGTCGTTGGAGGCCACGTCGGAACGAGTTAATTCACTTCGGGAGGAAATCAGGACGCTGCGCCCCAAGCTGTTTGGTGGTCAGGGAGGAACCCGCGGCATGCCGGAGCAGCCGCCATCGCCTCGTGAGTCCTCATCGATGGCAGGGCAATCTGCTCGGCAGTCTCAGCTTGTTTCTTGCACGCCCCATGACCATGAGAACGAGATCGGTCAGTCTCGTCGTGGCAGCAAGAAGGGGAAACGCGGAGGTCGTGCCGGTGCCGCCGCTACGCCGGCGAGGCCCCAACATGATTCAGCCATGGATCAGCAGCGGGTCCAAGACCAACGCCACCACAAAAACGTTGATGTCTCTGGTGGTGACGGTGATGATGACATGAAGAAGGAGATGGACAGAGGCAAATCGGCCCAGCAAATAGCCAGAGAGGAGGAGGAGATGGCCTTTGCCTCGTACCATAGAAGCTGGGAATCTAACTGGGGAGCGAGTGGCCGCAGCTTTTTCGAAGACACGAGTGAGTACTTATCCACTGGGCAAGCAAACACATTTGTTCATGCCTATGCTTTCATCCATTCATGTTAGATTTCTATAACACGCATGGACTTCTATTTGGTTGGTGTTTGCAGCGACCGTGAGTCCCATGCACTTTACCCACTGCACACCTGGATGCGACCCAGGTGATGCCGCGATCGCCGGGGCCACTCTGCAGATCTTCACCATCAAGCTCGTGGAGATAAAAGGCGGCCTCAAATGGCCATTGTCCGTGTACGGCGTGGTCGCTGCGCGAGACTGCATGGATCACAGCCGCAACCTCCTCTTCTCTTGCGATAGGTGGAGGTCGCAGAAACTCAGTCAAGACATACGTATGCTAGTACTAATACTTCCCTACACTTTTTTGTATATGTTATTTTCTTTTTCCGGGTGCACATGTGTGGTGGCATTCTTCCATACTACGAAGTAGCATATGTCTTCTTCTTTTAGAATTGCTGGTACTAATGGCGTGTTTGGTGATGCTTGCAGGATCCTTTTTTGCGTTTGATTGGCCCATCTCGTGCCATTGTTTTTACTGATGATGTTTACTTTGAAATTGAGCTAAAAGTAAAAGGCAAAACATTGTCTCAAGATATAGCATTGATCAGCGGGAGGCGTCATTACAGCGGAGGATGTACCATTTGCTTCAGCAACTGCTTCTGCACAATAGAGTTATGCATGGAGCGAATTCATGAAACTGTCTAGGCCACCATATTGGGTGTCCGTGTCAAAAACGGGTCATGGCCTTTCGATTATGGCGGTCAAGTGGCTTGCCTGTCACCATCGCGGACATATAAAGTCACTGGTGGTAAAGTCACTTACAGTACTCACGCCCCATCCATGGAAGTTGTGATGCTTGCTTCACGTGGTAGAACTATGCCTAAGGGTGCACACGGTTACCTTCGTCTATCAAGGTATGTAGTTTCTGTAGAACTGGAAGGAAGCCTGAATGTTGTCATACAAGCCTACTCAGAATCTGGTGATATCACTGCACAAGGTGAGATTTGCTTCACGCCCAAAGCTTGCAATGTAAGTCAGGAGACATGTTTCTTGGGTGACCGTGGCCCTAAGGTGGAAGTGGAGATTACCGTCGCTTGGTCTCTTCTTGTTTCGAACATGCGTCATTTGATGATGAATGGAATGGATTTTGATGAGTTGAAAGAAGTGCTCAGTGGGTTAGAAGTTTGATAGCTCGCTTAGAGATCATATCACTATGTGGCAATGGGCAGTTTTGAAGCTTCGGGTGATTTGGAACTCAGTGTTCTTTCCTCTCTTATGTGCCAAATTTTGCTAATGCATGCTTAGTTGTTTCGATTTTTTAACTTCAAATATGAGCACCCAAGTGAATCACAAATATCATATATAGTACTCCCTCCATTAACAAATATAGTTATAATTCTTTTATGAATTGGATGTATATAGAGATGTTTTGTGTATTTGTTCACTCATTTCAGACTATATAAGGTACATATTGAAATATCCAAAACATCTTATATTTTTTAATAGAGGGAGTACTAAATAGTAGAAATATATAAGAGCATGCATACATACAAGATATTACCTATTGGGGTTTGTTGGCATTACTATGTGGGGGATGACCCTAGTTTGACAAACATGTAGTAAAGTTTATTTTTTCAAAAGTACTACACTCTTGGTGAGACATTTTGTCGATTGTCCATGCACTAGTGCAGAACCGGCCTTTAGTGCCGGTTCGTAACGGGCTTTAGTGCACTAAAGAGTGGGGACTAAAGGTCCCCTCCCTTTAGTACCGGTTCGTCACGAACCGGCGCTAAAGTGCCACCACGTGGCACGAGCCAGGCCCGTTTGAGTGGAGGGCATTAGTACCGGTTGGTAACACCAACCGGTACTAAATGTTTGGGTTTTTTTTAATTTTTCTTTAATTTTGTATTTTCAATTTAATTTAGTGATTGTTTTACATTATAATGAGTTGTTAAATCATTAGGTGAAAGTACCGCGGATTAGTTTCGACTGGATGCATTATTGGATATCTCTATAGCTAGCTAGCTAGAGTATATGCCATATCCATATTATACTTGATCAACTATAATATATACGGATATGGCATATACTTGATCACTTAGGTAGGATTCATCCAGCTGAAACTAATCTGCGGTTTCTTTCCTTAAATGATATAATAATTAACTAGGTATCTAATCACCACCAACACTACTAGCTTAAAGAAGAAACATTCACTTGTACCAGAAGCAAAAATATTATCGATCGAGTTCAACATGATTGTCATGATATTATAAGCATTCATATATAACACCACGAAAGCAAATCACTTAAGTTCAGAACGAAGAACACGGACATGGGACAAGTACTAATTAAGAGCAGCATGAAGAACTAGCTAAATCACTCCTGCTAGTTACTCTCTCTAGTAAATAGCATAGAACATGTATAGCTCTCCTGATTGATCATACTGGAGCATGCTAATGAACCTGTCTCCTAATCGTGGGATGCGCTTCTCATTGCTGCCCCCTAGTACTTCTCTGCGATCATTAACAATTTTCCTCCAATCTTTCACTATTAAGCATTCATCGCTTCTAGAAATCCTGAATGCATTCATGTGCAATGCAGGATATCTTGGCCGTAAGCTAACAATTGACATCTGACCTTTAGTCTCGATCCCCTGAGGCACAACTGTCATCGGGAGTCCCTGTTGAAGAACATTGTATAGTACTTAATTAATATATATACTTAGCAATGAAAGTTTAGCAAAAAAATATGTATGCAAAATATGCACCGAGGACGAGGACAAATAGTAAATATCTTATCATCATTCCTAAATAGATGTGACCATAGTTCAATACCATCACTATTGGTCGCATGTTTTGAGTACTAACATTTCTAAGTGCAGGAAGAAAATTTGTCTTGACAGTATGAAGATCCTCAAGCCATGAAACATAATGACTTATCTCCTCGCAGTTTAGTTCAGCTCCGGGACAGTAGTAGGTCCTGTCTACCAAGCGCCGGACATGTTTGATTGAATGGAGATAAGCTGTCAATAGAAATTAGTTGTTAGTTATTTTTGAATAAGCAATATCAAAGATAAAAATATAGTTGAGAAGAACTCACATAATGGTAGAACTGGAGGCGTCTGCACATCGACCCATATGTCTCTATTACCTTCAATATCATCTTTCGGACGAATATCAAAGGTGATAAACATACCAGGCTCAAATGTATAAGCCTTGCATAGTGCTTGCCAAGTTTTGCATTCAAAATAGGTGTACGTGTGTGTATTGTATACTTTGACGTTGAAAGTATAACCATCATGCTCAGTTTTCAGGTAAGCTCTCTTTACCTCCATAGTTTCCATATCTTTGAAACCTATCTTATCCAAGACAAAAATTCTTGCATGGCACGGGATGCGCTAGTAGAATAGTGAAAATTAAAAATTATAAGTCAGGCAAATGAAGCATATATAAGTCATGCTTAATTATGAAAACAGACTTGTCGTTGTGACTTACTGTATCGAATTCGAAAGTCTCAACTAGCTTGATGCTGAATCGCCTACCATCAACAAGGAAATTTCTATCGCACTGGCTGCGCTGGTCTTCACAGTATTCGCATATAATGAAATTTTTTCCGTCGT